AAAGCCTCGAGCCAGCGCATGCGCCTACTTCGGATGGTCCACGTTATGCATTACATCCTCGAGGTAGAGTCATCGCCTCCATGGATTCCACCAACATGCAAGTAGACGCCGCTGCAGTATGGCGACGAAGAGAAGGAAGAGCTCGAGCGCATGCACCTTCTCCACTACGAGCTCCAAGTGCTTCGCGGCGTCTCGTACGACCTGACGATCGACCTTCCCTACTGCCATTTGTACCAGCTCGTGAGTAAGCTGCCGCCGTCCTGTACGCTTCCGATACTTCGTGACGCCGGTGTCTGGAGGAGCCTTGTAGGTAGCGCCGTTGGCGACGTCTCTAAAGTCATTTTGCGCGAGCTCTTTTGGACGACCATGTGCATCGACTACTCGGCCGTCCACCTCGCGCAAGCCAGCATCGTGATCGCGTGCCACATCAAGCAGACGCGCTGCGAGTCGGCGTGGCTATCGGACAAGCAGCACGCGGCCATGGTGCCATTACGTACACTCCTCCGTCCACTTGCGAGGTTGTCATGGACTCTCTCTAGAGCGCACGACGATGCTGGAGCAGTACATGCAGCTGCACGCGTGGAAGATGCAGCAAACGCGGCTCTTCCAGGCGGCCACGACCACCGACGACCAGAAACACCACTTCCTCGTGACCCAAAAGGGCGGGCTCACATGGCCCGTGCACGGCTCGATCGCAGATCCTAGCGAAATGACCAACCAGGTCGAGTCGCGGCCACCTCCGCCGCTCAAAACCCGAGCCCGGTCGCCCGACAAGGAGCGCGCACGGTCGCCGGACCGCCGCCACCGATCGTCGTCCAAAGACCGTCGCAAGCCACGGTCGCCCGCCAAGGAGCGCAAAGCCTCGAAGCGGTCGCGGTCTCCGCGGTCGCGATCTCCCCGGAAGCGGTCGTCGTCGCCGCGGAAGCGGTCGCGGTCGCCGTCGTACCGCAAAGCCAGCTACCACACGAAGCGGTACTCGCGCAGCCGCAGCCCGGACCGGGGCAGTCGCTACTACGCGTCGCGCCGCCGGTCGCCGTCGTACGACCGCCGATCGCGTCGGAGAAAGGACGACTACGAGAGCGACTACAGCAGTAGCAGCAGCAGCGACGACGACGACCGGTACCGGCGCCGGTCGTCGACCAAGAAACACAAGACGAGTCGCCGCTAACCCAACACGAGTACGTGTTACACAATAAGAACGCGTGCTTTTTACAATTTGGCCGCCGCCCGACGCGCGGCCTGGAGGGTTTCGGCCAGCGACGAGATGCTTCGCGTGAGCGCCGCCGCAAACGTGTGGCACGAGACGCGCTCGATCGGGTCGCTCGCGTCTTCCGTCTTCTTCATGGACGTGACCGTGTAGCCGATGAAGGTCGGCTCGACCGAGTAGCAGACGCCAATGCCGTACTCGACCATGGGCGCGAACCCGCCCCAGAGCCACTCGTACCCCGAGACATTGGACGTCGAGAGCACGAAGTTGCCGTTGCCGCCCGACTTGGTGTACGAGACGTCGGAAAAGATGGGATGCAGCGGCGCACCGGCAAGGACCGACGCGATCTGCAACCCGAGGAGGTGCCGGTCGGCGCCTTGGCCGTCAAGCGCCTCCATCGCGAGCTCTTGGTGCTTGGCGACCGCGGCCTCCAACTTGGCCATGTCGGACGGCGCGTGGAGCCAGGAAACGACCTCGTTCGAGCACGACCGGATGGTTTCGGTGCGGCCGTGGGCGAACCAGCGCGTGTGCGCGCTCTCGTACGTCGGAAGGACCTTGCCCCAGAGCTGCCACGCCGTGAGCTGGATCGCGAGCTGCACAAACGTGTCGGGCGGCATGTGCAGATCCGACTTGATGCGCAGTCGACCGTACTCCTTGTGCCGCGTGACGCACGCTTGGAAGCGCGCGGCCTTGAGCGCAAAGGCAGCCGAGACGTCGGCGATCGTCGCGACGACCGGCGATGGCACCTCGAGCGAGAGGAGCGTCGGCGGCGGCAAGAACGCACTCGACGTGCTCTCGATGCGCGTCTCCATGCTCCCATTGCGGTTCAAGTAGCGCCGCCCGAGCCTAGAGACGTCTCTTTCAAGCTATCAACTTGCAATTGATACCATTCAAACACGGAGCGGTACACGGTCGCGTCCGCGTTGCCGTGCTCCATGTTGCAGCCGACGTTGCCGTTGCCAAAGACGATGAACTGGAGACTCTTGTCGTACCACCGGTTGTGCGCCTCGCCTGCGACGAAGATCAAGAACTAAGAGCCACAACAAGATCTTACCGGCCGCAATGTGCTGGAGGCACTCGGTCGGCGTCGTCGGCGTGCTCTCGTCCATGCACACGGCAAACAAGCTCTCTTGGATCATCTGCAAGCTCGCCGCGTTCGTACCCAGCGGCAGCTACGAGTCCAACTCAGTCCCTCTTGGTCGTGCGTGGCGCCATACCAGCTCCTCCCGGGCTTCGGCCCACACGTCGCGGTGGGCTGACGTAAGCGCGCCGACAGCAAGCTACCGAAACGAGAAACGATGGCACGTTGCAACCTTGATAGATCCAAGCACCTTTGTCGGGAACGAATGGGCGTACTCGTAGATGAACTGCAGCTGGCGCTCGAGGTCGCCGATCGAGAGCAGCTGGTGCTGCGCGTCGACGACAGTGAGCGCGAAGGGGTAGCCTGTCCTCGCCTCCTGAGCTCCAGTGTATTCCATGTACAGACGCACCGCAGCAGAACACAACGACGTGCTCGATGCGCTTGACGCCGTCGACGCGCTCGTACGTGTCGGCCGGCATCTGCGGGATGCGGCAGGACGCAAAGATGCGACGGAACATGTCCATGCACATGGGGCGGCGACCCATTTGCTCCGGCGCGACCTTCTCGAGGAGCAGCATCGCGTGGTACTCGGACGTGTACCGGATGATCTCGGCCGCGCGGCGGCACTGCGGCACCGACTGGTCGAGCTCGCTGAAGGAGCCAAAGCCCGAGATCATGTTGATGTCGATCGCCGTCGGAGCGCGATACGACGTGTAGCCCGCTACGCCCGTGAGTTCGTTGGCGACCAAGAAGGCATATTCGCGTACCGTACTCCCACCACTCTGCCAGCTACAGCGACATACACGTATGAGACGCGAGGCCAGAAGGCAGCGAGCCGTACCCAGTTGCGCTCCGTGGCCGCGCGCTCAAGGAGCGCTTCTTGGAGGGCGTGAGCTTGGCCATTGGGCCCCACAAAGTCCTGCATGAGCTCGGTCGTGTGCTGAAGCTCCTCCTACGACGCTAATGCATTGGCATCGGGCTTATGCAGCGGTCGCCCACCTTGGTCACGAAGGGCGCAATGGACTCGAGGTACTTGCGCGCCGTCTGCTGCAGGTCGGGCACGGGCAGACTCGGGAGGTCCGCCTGGTGGGCGTACCTACGGAGGCGCATAAGGCGGCGACTTGCGCACGACTTACGGACGTCGTCAGCGTGGCTTGCTTGGCCATTTCCAATTCCAAAGTGGCGATCCAAAGGTCGTGCGGTACCGCGGATCGCTTTTTCATTGGCTAAAAAGACAGGCTCCTTCAACCCGCACAGCGAATCAGAGCGCGCTGCGGTGGGTTGAGTCAACACGGACGAGGATGATGCAAGTGGTTCACTTGCGGCAACAAACACTCGTTCTAGCTCGAACATGCTACGTCAGTTGCGATGTCTTGTAGGATACTACGATAGACAAGTTGTCCACATTCTATTTCGCAGTTGGCCGCATACAGATTGTCAGGTGTATATGAGACGCCGGCTGCGTCGGCGTGAAAAGGTGAGAGGTCGGGGCCTCTACACTAAGGAAACGCGTCTGGTGACGTTGCAAGCAACAGCAGGACGAGCTGTGCGGTCGTCTTCTTCTGGCAACTTCGGCGCCTTCATTCGGCAGGAGGCCAGAGTGCTGCACCGCCCGTCGCTTCCGTCTTCCTGATTTTTTTCGCCCTCCTTTGGCATCGCTGCTGTTCATACAAATAGCTAGACACTGGCCCTCTCGTGCTGGACGGAGGCGTTGAAAGGTCTTGCGCAGAGGAGCGCTAGTACAGTAGGAGCGCCCGCAGTCGTCGACAGGGCAAGGTGGCGAGCAATATGATATGCCCACGTCGCCTCTGCCAACTTTTCGTCGTCCCACCGACCTGCCACAGGGTTCGATCCCTGGCCACCTCGAACATTCCCCCGCGAAAGTCCAACGCAGCATCCAGTGCGTTGTGCGGTATTTTGTATTGAAGGCGTCTCGTTGCCAGAGACTACCAGGATTATATTACCGGTATGGACAGTCCCGCGCCACGTTGAAGTTTCCTCGGGATATGCTCACCGCGTGTTTGTGATGCAAAAGCGCGCGCGACCCTCTTGCGATGTTCCACGCTCTCCCGTGGCTTGGTGCCGCTGCCACCGCACGTAAAGCTACTTCGTCCACGTCCCTCACAGGTACGTACACCCAAATGCTGATCCCCACCCGCGAGCATTGCATAAAAGCGGTGTGCGGGCAAGAGAAATGGACGGTTGCGACTGATGGACCCCAAAGACACGAACGTATTCGCCATCCACTGCCGACACGGTGGTGGCGCCGGCGCCAATCAAGCGGTTGGATATTGCACGGTCATTGACACGGAAACGCAGGCGACGCCGTCGGAAGCCTCATCGAGCTGCTCTGCATGTCAGGTTCGTTGGGGAATCATCCGCCGGCTCTCAGATGCGCGCCGCAGCGCCGCACGTTGGGCGACGACCTATGTCTTGACTTCCACTCGATCCGCGACGGACCTGCAAGATTCGCCAGCAGGCACTCAATGATGGTCACCATGTAAAGGCCATGCCAGCGGGCCGAGTCGGCAATCGCGCCACTCTGCCCAACTGGCTTGTGTATCTCACCTGCCACTGAGATTTGACATGGGACAGCTGAGACGTTGGCTTCTGTTGTTTTCATGCATTTTGGCTGTTAAAGAGAAGTATAGGGTGCAAATCTACATGCAAATAGATCGCTGACATGAAAGAGACAATAAAACCATGCCTATTATTTCCTGCAGAGCATACAAAGCGAGAGTGTAGACGAATAAAATTCCAGTTGGTTTTTAATGCGTCGCACGCCTGAACCCATACACATCGTTGCGCTGGCTTCCAGCGTGTTACACCGTAGTTACATGGGCAGCAGGTATAGGAGGTGCAGCAGCAGCAGCTCGCGCCTCTGCATACTTCATTCTGAAAACGCATGAACTCTGCGCGCTCGCACCCAAGCTCCCGCGGCGCCTCCATGCCCGAGTCCTCGTCCACCGCCGGCGAGTTCGCGGCCGGCTGGCTCTGGAAGAAGTCGGGTCGCTTCTCGTCATGGAAGTACCAGTACTTTATCCTCCGCGGCGCCCTTCTCTCGTACTACGACAAGTACCCTGGCGAAGAGTACGCCCACCTCTTCGCGCCCGGCTACACGCAGGGCGACACATCTCCGCGCGGCGTCCTCCGCGTCGTGCACGTCGAGGTCGGCCAGAAGAGCGCGATCGCCTTCAAGGTCTATGGCTCGTCCGGCAAGGTCCTCGACATCCGCGTCGAGACCTCGGTCGCGCGTGCCAAGTGGGTCAACGGTCTCAACCTCGCGTCGCAGCTCGGCAAGCGCAAGCTCGCGACGACGTCCGTCTCGATCGACTCGGCCGACTCGACGCTCGACTCGGACGACGAGAACGCTGTCAACTGCGCAGGCTACCTTACCGTGCCCAAGCACGGCAACAAGTACTTTGTCTTGCAAGGCAACATGCTCTCGATGCACGCAGACGAAAACCCGTGGACCGTCCCGACGTCGCGCAGCTACGTCCTTGGCGTCAAGCCGCTCCCCAACAGCCAGACGCTCGAGGTGCGGCTCAGTCACGGCGCCAAGCCGCTGGTTCTGCAAGCGCAGAGCAGTCAAGAGCGCGAAAAGTGGGTCCACCACATGACCGAGTGCTGCGTGACGCGATAGGCGTCGCCACCGCCCCAGGCCAATGAAAGTGTTTCGCGGCCGACCTTATAATTATATGTCTCGACGTTCTCCTCGAGTCGTGCTGTAGTCTTAATGTAACCATCAACTACGATATCCCTCCGATTGAAGGACGGACGCCATGCAGCCCCTTGTACAATAAAGAACAAAGAGTGTATTCCCTGAGACTAAGAGTATACAAGGTCCATGCCGTCTTCCTACAGCGTACCGAGGAGGAGGAGGCATGCAGTCTGTGTCGCGACGTGAGTCGCCGCCACGTACACCAGACTGGACGACGGCATCGAGTAGATCTCGTTGATCCAGGACGAGACTGTCGAGAGCGATCCGCAAAAGCCCGTTAAGAGCGCGTGCTGGATCCACTAGAATAAGAAATGATAGTCTCTTGCGTGTCAGCGTGCCACGTACGGTCGCGCCAAGGGCCGACGTCGGCATCGCCAGGACGCCGATGCAGCTCACGATGGACGCAGAGACGTTGGCGGCAAACGTTCCGAGTGGAAACGTCTTGGATTTGTTGAGACGGAGCCCGAGACCGTATCGAAGGAGCGCACCGGGCGGCCCAAACACCACGGCCAAGTAGCCGTCAAGGTAGAGCGCCGCGAGGGTGACCGCAATCAGCGTGGCCACGCCGCACAGGCCATACACAACACCGTGGCGCACCGGCTTGAGCGTCGAAGCGCCAGCTGCGGCAAGCGGTCGCGCCTCTTCCAAGGCCAGCGCCAGCCGCTGCCACGTGCCATCGCTTTCCTACCACAATGTACTCTGTCAATCCATTTCGAGGAGCGCTTCAACGAGTAGCCGCCTACAACGGTACATACCTGGTCGACGCTCCGGCTCTGCGCGTACGTGAGAACGTCGCTCCACGCAGCTCCAAGCGCAGCTTCGTGGTGGCGGTCTGTATACAGAAGGCCGAGATGGCGCCCCGAAAGGAAGGACGCGAGGCTCGTCGTGAGCTGCACAAAAAACATCAAGGTCGCGTTCGCCGCCATGGACCCGAGGTACTGCTGCGCGAGCACGAGCTCCCACGATGCGAACGTCGTGCAGCAGCCGCAGAAGCCCGTCGTCACGCCGGTCCAGAAGGCTTCGTGGCGAGCAGTCTTGAGCGGCTGCGCCAGGCCCATGACGAAGCAGCCGACGACATTCGGGAGGAAAAATGAGACGCCCATCGCCGTCAAGATGGACGGCGCTGCTTGCGTCGCCTCGATGGCGCTGGAGGCCGTTGTGAGGAGCACGCGGGCAGCCACGCCAAGGTACGCCCAGACGCAGATCCAGGCGACGGCTGGCAGCGGCGTCGGCGCAACCGGCTCGTGCACGAGAAGCCAGTCCATGGCTTCCGGATTATTCTGGCTGCTAAAAACACCCAGCCGAGGGGCCAGACGGTCTTGCATGCATCGCACATCGGACAGAGCTCCCTATTGCACCGTACGTCGTCGACTGCGTGGCATTTCCATCAGCATCGATCGCGTCTGGTACCTGGCGCCATGCAACGACGACCTGCGTGGCTACATGAAACGTTGCGTGTGCCAAGCCATGGGATCCGGTCGTACTGATTGGTTGGTCTGAACCAATCCAAAAGTCCAAAAGATGCTAGCAGTCACGCGGCGATCCTTCCACCACGTACCCGTGCTGCCGGCGGAGACGCTCGCCTTCTGGGTGCCGGCGCACGCCCGGACGTCGCCCGCCGTCTTTGTCGATGGCACAGCCGGCCTCGGCGGCCACTCGCGGCTCTTGCTCGAAGCCCACCCGCAGGCGCAACTGCTCTGCATCGACCGGGACCCGCAGGTCGCCGTGGCACCCTCGTGACAGACGCATGACGCTAGCGCGTAGATTCTGCACATGGCACAAAAGCGTCTCGCTTCGTTTGGCGCCCGCGTGCGCTTTGCCCAAGGCTCGTACTTGGACATTGCTTCGCACCTGCGCTCGGCCGGTACACTTGGCTTCATGGCGCAGCCGTGCTCACGATGACCGTAGGCTTGCCGAGTGAGGTGGACGGCGTCCTCGTTGATCTCGGTGTCAACAGGTGCGGACGTGATGCGTGCCTCTGGCGCTCACGCAGCAATGTAGTCACCACCTGGACTCGGGCGACCGGGGCCTTAGCATCTACCACGACGGCCCGCTCGACATGCGCTTCGACCAGTCCAACGCAGATCTGTCGCCCGCGTCCGTTCTCGTCAACACACTCTCCGAAGTGGAGCTCACGAAAGTACTACGCTGTACTACTGAGAGACCACTGGATCGAAACATGCAACTAGGTGTTTAAAATGTACGGGGAAGAGCCTCTGGCCAAAGAGTACGCCAAGGCGATCATCCGGCGGCGCGAGACCGAGCCCTTTCAGCGCACGGAGGGCTTAAAACGCTGCATTGAAGCCATTGCAGACAAGTGGAAGCCCAAGTCTGCCAAGGCGAAGAAGCAGTTTGTGCATCCTGCGACGCGACTCTTCCAGGTACCACAACTACTACTACAAGACCGGCAGAGGTTGAACGCTGGTCATGCTCTAGGCGCTGCGCATTGCTGTCAACCAAGAACTCGATCACGTCGAGGTACGTCGCTTTGCACCGAGGAGTACTAAGTCGACCAGAAAGGGATCCCGGCCATGATGGACTGCCTCGCGCCGAGCGGCCAGCTGGGTAGACTAATAGGCTTAGAGCGTGACTGACAGCATATTAGCTGCCATTGCCTTTCACTCGCTCGAAGATCGGTGGATCAAGCGCTACTTTCGGGACGCCGTTGAAATGGACGACGACGACATGGAAGAGCGTTGGCCCCATAAGGTAACGATCGCTCGGACAATTGACCAAGGAATGCTCAATACGACGTAGCGATTCGAGGTCGTGCAAAAGCGAGCCGTGCAGGCGACCGACGCCGAGGTTGAAGTGAACGCGCGCAGTCGCAGCGCCAAGCTGCGTGCGATCCGTCGCATTGCCTAGTGATCAATAAGAACCCAACCATGACGTGGCATCCCGAAACCGGACCGCACGGAACTTCTGGAAAGGACGGTTGGGTGATTTTAGCGGGTTTCGGTTGCGTATCCGGCGCTCGCATTTGCAACCGTTCCTCGTCCTCCTCCTCTCGGCTATCATGTCGTACATGCTTCCTCACCTGTGTTCGGGCTGGGCCGTCGATCAGGCCATCATGACCGAAGGTGACCGCGTCGTCGTCATGCGATTTGGGCATGACCATGATCCTGTGTGTATGCAGATGGACCAAGTGCTTGCGGGCATTGCGGAGGACGTCAAGAACTTTGCCATCATCTACGTGGTACGTCGCCGCCGCCATCCGCCGCTCGCATGGCCTTATGATGCGCGCCGTGATTAGGTGGACATCACGGAGGTGCCCGACTTTAACACGATGTACGAGCTCTACGACCCGTGCACCGTCATGTTCTTTTACCGCAACAAGCACATCATGATCGATCTCGGCACGGGCAACAACAACAAGATCAACTGGGCCTTCAACAACAAGGGCGAAATGATCGACATCATCGAGACCGTCTACCGCGGCGCGCGCAAGGGTCGCGGTCTCGTCATCTCGCCCAAGGACTACTCGACCAAGTACCGCTACTAGACCCTTGGCCTCGTCGCCCGTAGCCACGACGCTGCTGCCCAAGCTATCACTGTCGCCCACGCGTAGCTCAATACACGTCGTGTTCTATTTAGGCTGTGGCTTTTCTGGGTAGCGCAGATGATGTAGCACGAGCGTGGATTCCATGCGTGGTCGACGTAGAAGTGCACGCCTACTCTTCGGGCAGGAACGGGTTCGAATAGAGCTCTTGCGTGCCATCGACGGGCGAGATGAGCATGACCGATGTCCCTCGGCAGACGAGGAGACCGAGGTTGCGCGTCTCGCCAGGCGTCTCGAAGTACTCGACGGCCTCGTCGAGCACGAGGTTCACGAGCTGGTCGTAGCCCTTGAGGACGCCCGTGACTTCGCGGCCGCCGGCGAACTTGATGCGCACGCTCTGGTCGATGAACTTGGCCAAGTCCAGAATCGGGTCGCGCTTCGATGCCATCTTGTCCGTCCGCTTCGTATGTGGTCTCCCTCGCAACAAGCGATCCCCATTGGCGCAAAACCCAACATTTTAACCAATCGTTGCGTCCGCGTGGCCTGCATTTGATTGGTGGTTCGATATTTTGGGAGCTTCGAAAAATGCCAAGTGGCAACGACCTTGCGAGGTCTCGTCGTCGCCACGAGGTTCATGGCGCCTTGGCGTTGGCGAGGGCGACGAGGCGCTTCCAGTGGCACGCCCCAAATCAGATCTGTTCCAGAACCGTATCCGGATTGCATCGACGCAACATCAACCCACGAAGACCGCCAACAAGATTGCGGATGTCTCGCTTCAGCCATCAGCCGCAAAGGCCAAAGAGCGTCAATACCGACAAGAAGCGTCTAAGCTACCATCGCGCGCGCGAATAGCACTAAAAACTACAGAAATTCCAGCCGATCCCAGGCAAATTCTGCCATTCGACCAGCGTTGCGCGACGGTTGGTGCATCATTACCGCTTCCCATGCAAGCGTTGGATAGAGGGCACACGACTCGCCTGCTCCACGCAAGAGCTGGTAAGATCACAGTCGGCAGTACCGGTAGGTAAAGACGATCTCGCTGGAGGGATCTCTCCAGGCTTCCTCCAAGTTGAAGCAAAAGTAGCTACGCCGAGTTGTACGGTACTGAAGTGGTCTCTATAGCTGCTGTTGAGACCACTTACGAACTCTCAGATCTACCACGCACTGCTACACCGTGCATTGAGATAGATTGCTTTGCGAATGAACAAGGCGCAAGCGCGTCAAAGCAGTCGGCAATGGTTACCTCCACATGATTGGTCAAAAGCCGCCGAAAAGCTGCCAATGAAACCCTGCGACAGTTGCAATTTCGGAGCCATGGACGGCGACTACACGCTGCGCGTCTGCTGCATGGGCGCGGGGTACGTTGGCGGCCCGACGATGGCCGTCATCGCCAAGTTCTGCCCGACCATCCGCGTCGTCGTCGTCGACGTCAGCGCCAAGCAGATCGCGCGCTGGAACTCGGCCGACGACCTGCCCATCTACGAGCCCGGGCTCCTCGAGGCCGTGACGGGCAGCCGCGGCAAGAACCTCTTCTTCTCGACCGACATTGACCGCCACATCAAGGAGGCCGATCTCATCTTCGTGTGCGTCAACACGCCGACAAAGGCCTCGGGCTTTGGCGCGGGCGCGGCCGCCGACACCAGGCACGTCGAGGCCTGCGCGCGCATGATCGCCCAGAGCGCGACGACCGACAAGATTGTGGTCGAAAAGTCGACGGTGCCCGTGCACACGGCCGAGGTGCTGAACGCTGTCTTTGACGCCAACAGCTCGTGCGACGTCGCCCTACGCGACCGATGGCTCACGCACTCGATCGTAGTAGCGCGGTCCACTTTGACGTGCTCTCGAACCCCGAGTTTCTCTCCGAAGGCACGGCAATCCACGACCTCATGGCGCCGTCGCGCATTCTCATTGGCGGCGAGAGCTCGCCGTCCGGGCAGCGAGCGGTCATGACGCTTGTCAGCATCTACGAGCACTGGGTGGCCCGCGGTACGTTCTTCTTGTTTATCAGCAGTGGTTTTCAATCCGGCAACTAGACAAGATCCTCACGACCAACGTCTGGTCGTCCGAGCTCTCGAAGCTCGTCGCCAACGCGTTCCTGGCGCAGCGCATCTCAAGCATGAACTCGATCTCGGCGCTCTGCGAGGCCACTGGTAGCGTCGCTGCGACCTGATTGGTTACTGAACATGATGGATGACGTAGGCGCCGACGTGGCGGAGGTCGCGCGGGCTGTCGGGACCGACCCGCGCATTGGCGACAAGTTTCTCCAAGTGTCCGTGGGCTTTGGCGGCTCGTGCTTTCAGAAGGACATTTTGAACCTCGTGTACCTAGCCGAGAGCTGCCACCTCCCCGAAGTCGCAGCCTACTGGCGCAGCGTCGTCGAGATGAACGAGTTCCAAAAGAACCGGTTCTCCAAGCTCATTGTGTCGCAGCTCTTCCACTCGGTCTCGAACAAGAAGATTGCGATCCTCGGGTTCGCCTACAAGAAGGACACGGGCGACACGCGCGAGACGGCCGCCGCCGCCGTCATCAAGGCGCTCGGCGCCGAGCGCGCGCAGCTCTTCGTGTACGACCCCAAGGTCGAGCGCGACGATATGCTCCACGAGCTGCGGTACCAAGGCATGGCCGAGGTACGTTTGCATGGTTCTTGATATGTTGATACATGTCGCGCTAGAGCGAGATTGCGAGCATCCAGATCGTGTCGACGCCGTTTGAGGCCACGGCGCAGGCCCACGCGATAGCAATCTTGACCGAGTGGACCGAGTTTACGCAGCTGCCGTTCGAGGCGATCTACACGGACATGCTCAAGCCCGCGTTCATCTTTGACGGGCGCAACTTGCTCGACCACACGCTGCTGCGAGAGATTGGCTTCAAGGTGTTTGGCATTGGTAAAAAATTGCAATAGAAACCACAGTGTATAGAATTATGGTATCCCGCGCTTGTCCTATGGCTGCAGGAACACGAGGCCTTCGAATTTCGAGCGGCCCGGGACCTCGGTGTCGGGCAAGAGCACGCTGCCGGTTGCAACGTCGATCACCGAGAGGTACGTCGCCTGCGTTCCTGCAACGTTGTCCTCGACGCTCTTCAGCGCCGCGATCACGCTATCGTTCGTGCCCGGCACGAACTTGAAGCTCGCGTAGCCGCGCTCGGGCACGAGGACGCCGACGGTCCGCACCTCAATGTCGCTGAAGTCCTCGGAGGCCAGCACGAGCTTGTTGCTGCCCTTGGTCGCGTCCACCTCGTCGCTAAACGCTTCGTCCGAGACGCGCCGAGGCAGCAAGAGCCACTGCTGCAGATGCTCGCTCCACTCGACGGCTTCGTGGATGACGTAGCCCGAGGCACCGAGCGCAGCCTGCACCGCGTCGAAGCGCGCGGACCAATTGACGTGCGCAATCGGACCGTCGAGCGACGGCAGTTGGGCGACCCAGCGGTGGTAGTCGTTTTCAAGAACGCCGCCGGGCGCCCAGTTGACGCCGTGGCTGCCGACGTACAGCACGTAGCCCTTGACGGTCGCCCACTCGTTTTTGGCGCCTTTCGCGACCGTGCCGTCGCCCGCCTTGATGGCAACGAGCGGCGTCGCCTGCAGCGGACCCGTCGCGTTGAGAGCAAAGTTGGTCAGTTCAAAGATCATGCCGGTGCGGTCGTCGAACGTGAGGAGCCGGCCCTCGAACCACGCGAGCTCGCTGAGCTCAAAGCCGCGGCCGTCTTCGTTGACGTCCGTTGTGATCGTGACGGCGTCGCACCACTCGACGCTGTAGCGGCCGTCGGCGTCGCGCACCAGCAGCGCGCGCTGGAAGAGGGCGTGCCAGGCGGGCGTGCCATCATCCACCTCCTTGCTGCGCGTGTCGAGGTCCGTGATGAGCCCCATCGCAAACGTCGTCTCGCGCTTGGTCTGCGGCGCCGGCGTCTCGTCGAGCGTGCTACCACAGAGGCCCATACTGGTGGGAAAATGCAAAGTGAGTCGACCGCGTTTTTGGACTCGGGTCCGAGACAGGCGCGGAATGTTGTTTTGAGGGACCCACCCTTCGCTCCCACCCTTTGGCGCGGCTGCATTGACGACCACGACCCCGCAGCTGCTCTATGATCGGTGCACGCCTGATCGCAGTGATGACCGTGATTGCTTCAGGCATGTTGGTGTATGTCAAGCCTGCAGAGGCGAGTGGCCAGCGTGCAAGGCGGCGTGGTCGACGCGTCAAGGCCGTACGAGGTATCGCTGGCGGCGAGGAAGGAGGCGCTACAGCCCTGGCTATACGTGCACGACGCGTCGAAGAGAAAGAAGGACTGGAATGAAAGTCAGGATGTCGTCACAGCACTGCGGCGAGACGGCGTTCGTGTTACTATTACGGGGATCGAGCCACGATGGCGAGACGCTTAATAGTCCGAACCACCGCCGAACATGTCCATGCCACCGCCGAGGTCGGCCTCCTCTTCCTCTTCCTTCTTGGCCTCCTCCTTGGGGGCGGCGGCGCCAGCGGCGGCACCAGCGGCCGGGGCAGCGCCCGACGAGGCACCGACCGAGACGGTCGCGAGCTTCTTCTGGCCTTCGGCAATGACTTCGTAGATGTCCTTGCCCTCGAGCTCCTTGATCAAGGTCTCAAGGCGCTCCGTGTCGACTTCACCGCCGACGGCCGTGATGATGGCCGAGACGTCAGCGACGGACGGCGTGGTGTTACCACCGAGGACAGCCAAAAGGAAAGCAGCAACGTGACGCATCTACAGAGCGTCATGAGCCATCGCCGCCATGGCAGCATGCGCGTACCTTGTTTAAGGAGATTCAAAAGTTATTAGCCCGGACAACGTCTTCTGAGCGTCGCTGCCTCCACCAACTATCCGCTCCAAATCGCTCTGGCCAATCAACAAGAGATGCACGCTCATTCGCCAATACCGACGATTTTTAGCCAATCCCAACGCGGCCGAATTCGGATAATCGCACGCCACCGTGTTCCGAGCGCCGGCCTGTGCATGCTGCCAGGACGGAGGCCGCGCCTCGTACGAGTGTGCTGCGGCGCCAACGAGGGTGGTGCTATCGTCAAGCGGCCACCGTAGCACCGACGACGACGCGCCTTCACGCGCGCGCAGTGAGCTACAGCATGGCCGACAGCAGCAACAGTCGCGTCGAGGTGACGACGATAAGATCGTAGAGCTCGATTGATTACCCATACGGAAAGGCGTACCAGTCGTGGGTCACTGGTGCGGGGTGCGCGACCGCCGACGACAGCGCTGGCGGCCGAGTGTCATTGCTGGCCGGCGGCTCAGTGCTATCATGAATACTGGCCGGCGGCGTCGCATCAAGCCGGGTCTTCTTGGTCGTCGCTGCCGTGACAAAGGGGCTCGTGCGCTTTTGTCCCGTCGTCGGCGCCCAGTTGGTGTTGGTGGCGAGCATGGCGTCGCAATCTAAATCTGTCGATGTAACCAGCGCCGCTCGTCGCGCCACGTACTGCCACCTCAGCGCGTCGGATCCGGATACGCTCGCCATGCCTTTCTCTCTATATGTTTGTATGGCGGCGTCGAACTGCGGTCGGGACGGCGGAGGCGTCCGGATAACGTGGCGAAATCTTCGAATATTTTTTTTATTGTTTTTTTCGATGTTTGAGAAGACGCTCGCGGACCTCGTCAAGGGGATCCGGTCGTGCAAGGGCGATGTCTCCGTGTACATCTCGCAGTGCATGCAGGAGATCAAGAACGAGCTCAAGGCCAACGACCCCTTCATCAAGGCCCAGGCCATCCGCAAGCTCACCTACCTCAACATGCAGGGCTACGACATGGGCTGGGCGGCCTTCCACGTCGTCGAGGTCATGAGCTACGAGCGCTTCGCCCACAAGCGCATCGGGTACCTCGCCGCGGGCCAGTCCTTCACGCAGGCCACGGACGTCGTCCTGCTCTGCACGAACCTCTTCAAGAAAGAGTTTGGCTCGGTCAACGAGTTTGAGGTCGGCCTCGCGCTCAACGCGATGGCCAACATCTGCACGACCGACCTCGCGCGCGACCTCCTCGGCGACATCCTCGCGCTCATGAACAGCCACAAGCCGTACGTGCGCAAGAAGGCGACGCTCATCCTGTACAAGCTCTTCCTCCGCTACCCGCAGGGCCTGCGCCTCAGCTTTGACCGGCTCAAGGAGCGCATGGAGGAGCCCGACGTTGGCGTCGTGAGCTGCTCCGTCAACGTCATTTGCGAGCTCGCCAACAAGAAGCCCAAGAACTACGTCGGTCTCGCGCCGCAGTTCTTTCGCCTCCTCACGACGTCGTCCAACAATTGGATGCTCATCAAGGTACCCCTCCTCCATATACAAGCATGTGCTCATGGCATTAACCTTAGGTCGTCAAGCTCATGTCGTCACTCGTGCCCGAAGAGCCTCGCCTCGCGCGCAAGCTCTTGGATCCGCTCGCGACCATCATCCAAAACACGCCGGCCAAGTCGCTCTTGTACGAGTGCATCTCGACGGTCACGACCGCACTTCTGTACACGCAGAAGAGCGACGGGTCCCAGCCCCGCAACGTGCCGGCCATCGTCAAGCTCTGCAACGACCACCTGCGCCGCTACATTGAAGACCCGGACCAGAACCTGCGGTACCTCGGCCTCGTGGGCCTGAGCAACCTCATGCAGAGCCACCCGCACGTCATCAGCGAGCACCAGCAGATCATCCTCGAGTGCCTCAGCGTCGAAGACACGACGATCCGCCTCCGGTCGCTGGAACTCCTCGCGGGCATGGTCTCGCCCGAGAACGCGCCGGCCATCATCCAGGAGCTCATGCGCCACACGATGGTGTCGGACGGCGTGTACCGGCAGGAGCTCATCGTCAAGATCCTGCACGTCTGCTCGCTCAACAAGTACCACAACGTGCAAGATTTCGAGTGGTACATCCGCATCCTCTGCCAGCTGAGCAAGCTCCCGGGCAAGGAGGCCTCGTCGGTCCACGGCGCCGAGATCACGCGCCAGCTCATGGACATCGCCGTGCGCGTCAAGGGAATCCGCAGCGTCCTCGTCAAGTACATGATGGCGCTGCTCCTCGACAAGGCTGCGCTCCAGGACGCAGGCGCGGCCACGACGGCGCAGGTGCTCTACGCCGCGGGCTGGATCGTCGGCGAGTACATTTTGGAGTACATTGAAAACGAAGAGAGCGATGAGAGCGACGAGAGAGCGACGACGAGAGCGACGGCGAAGAAGCCCGCCTCGAGAAGATGGTCGACGTGGTCGATGTCATGCTGCAGCCGTCGACGACGTCGCTGCCCGCCAACGTCCAGGCCGTCTACATGCACAACATCCTCAAGCTGCTCATGGCGGCCGCCGAGAAGGCCGACGACGCGACCGTCGAGCTCGTGGCCAAGATGATCCTCGAGCGCCTTCCCGCCTTTGTCCAAAGCGAGCACATTGAGGTGCAGGAGCGCGCGTGCACGCTCGAGCACGTGGTCTTGGGCCTCGGCCTCGGCCTCGACGCGCTCTCGCCCGAGGACCGCGCCAACCGCGTCTTTGGCGGCGCCATGATCACGACGTCAGATGGCCGCCTCGGCGTCCTCAACGGCTTCTTCAACGAGCCGCTCGCGCCCGTGGGCGCCAAGGCCCAGCGCAAGGTGCCGCTGCCGCCGGGGCTCGACCTCGACACGCCATTCGCCAAGGAAGAAGCCGCGTTTCTTGTGGCCGGCGATGCCGACGGCAGCACGACCGACGATGTACGACGGGTCGTTTCAGATAGCAGGGCAGAGGCTGACGCGTGTGTAGGAGGTGTCGTTTGTGCACTCGTCGCACGCCAAGGAGCCTGATACGGGGTACGTCAACCTCGGCGCGACCTCGTCAAGTGACGAGGAGACGGACGGCGAAGACGCCAAAGCGATCCTCGAGAAGCAGTACGCGATGGAGCAGGAGCGTCTGCGCCAAGACCCGTTCTACATCAAGCCGTCCCACAGCGCCGCGCCCAACGACGACGTACAGACTCTCCATTCCGTCCTCCTAGCAACTGAAGGTCCGACTAGATGTTTGGCAACATTCTCAATGCACTCGACGCGAAGAAATCCAAGAGCAAGAAGAAGAGCAAGACGCCCAAGAAGCAGCGTGCGATCGTCCTCGACGACGTCATGGTGCGGCAACGTTGAGTAGCGAATACTTATGTGTCTGTAGCCGGACGGAGGCGACTCGAGCGAGGACGAGGGCGGTCGGCGTGGTCGCCACGGGAAGCGGCGGTCGTCCAAGGACGTCGACTTGGCCGAGGTCGACCTCACCATGCCGCTGCGGGACGACGAGCGCATTCCCGACTCGCATTGGCAGCACCGCCAGGTCCTCGACCGCGCACCGAGCATGAACGACGACGACGACGACGGTGGCAAGAAGGTTCCCCGCCCGCCTGAAGGACCGTGTCGTTGACCCTTGTGGATAGAAGAAGAAGAAGAAGACGAAGAAGACCAAGGACGAGCCAAAGCCCAAGAAATCGAAAAAGGCCAAGGAGGTCGAGATGGTGCTCGTCGAGGAAGAGGTCAAGAAGCCGAAGAAGAGCAAGCAGAAGAGCGGGAAGGAGGCCAAGGAAGACAAGCCCAAGAAGAGCTCCAAGAAGAGCTCCAAGAAGGCGGCCGACGGCGGCGGCGTGCTCAACGACGAACCGCTCCTCATGTTTTAAGCCCCGTCGCCGTAGTAATAGTGTATCTATGAGACGCAACACGATATCTGGTTAGATACAAATTGACGCATTAGACCTTGCGGAGGGCCGCGAGCCGCGCCGAGAGGTCGTTGGCTGTCGACGTGGGCGCGGCCGCCGGCTGCACGTGCGTCTCGACGCCGACCGCGCCGGCGTTGTCGAGCTGGCCGGCGATCACGAGGCCGTTCTCGTCCGCGACCATCTGGATGAGATCGTCGACCTGGTCCGTGGGCGTCGCGCCGGCCGTCGTGCTGTTCATGGCGCCCTCCATGTACGCGGCCCGCACGTCAAGGTCCTCAAACTGCTTCTCGAACTGGTCCATCGTCTTGGAGATCTTCTCGACGTTCATCGAGTCCATGACGACGTCCATGCCCTTGACGACGCCCGACATGTTCTGCTTGAGCTTCCCCATCGAGATCGCGGTCTGGACGCGCGCCGCGACCGCGTCGATGCGGGAGCTGAGCTGGAGGTAGCTCAGCGCCTGGTTCTTCTCGCGGATCGCGTTCTGCGCGTAGATCTTGGCGCCCTCCATGTTGCCCATCTCGATGGCCTTCTTGAGCTTCGTCTTCTGCGCCGCCTGGTTCTTATCGCACTTCTTAGCGTTGCGGAGGAGCGACTTGGCCGTGAACTTCATCTTGAAGAGCTCGTCCTCCAGCGTCGGCCGCTTCAGAAAGTCAAACATCGCGGAAAATGCAAAGTGACCGGGTACGTCGGATGTATCCGGATAGCCTCTGGTATCCGGAAGTAGAGTGGCGGTACCTGCATTCTCCACCGCCAAATATGCTGATTTTGAAATTTTCGAAAGAATAGCCCGACAGAGACACATCTAGTATAGCTCTTTTCCACGACGTAGCGAGCTGGATTGACCGAAACAACCAGTTTATCAAACCCCGTTAGCTTTAATTTCTGGAGACGAAAAGCTTTGCACGACAAAGCAACGGTGGCGATGGTCGGTTGTGTACTCGGCGCTGCAGGAAGACTCTCGGAGGCGTCTCCTCGTGGATGCAGCGAATCGTTGCCGTGGCAATCGCAGAGCAGGTTTGAGGAGTTTGGATGGGGCACCATGCCGCGGAACTAGGGCTGAACGTGGACACCCCGCCAGGCCTCCCAAAGCTGGAGGTTGGGTAACGTCATGAATTTGGGAGGAGAAACTCCCCGTGACCACAAAAAGGACAGCCGAGCGATGGAGGACCGGCGGGTGTCTGTGGAAGCCCAGAACGAGTTTGCCATTCTTGTAATGATTTGAGGACGATGCTGGTGTAGTGTCGGGCTCCTTGAGCAGCACCTCGAGGCGCTCGAGCGGCAGCTTCAGGAGAAGCACGCGTTCAACAACAGCCTCAAGTACGAGAGCGAGTGCCTCAGCCAGCGCATCGAAGCCCTCGAGGAGGACCAGCGCGTTGCGAAAGCAAAATACGACGAAATGAACAAGCTCTTTGGCGAAAAGGCCCACGCGCAGCACGACGAAAGCAAGGGCAAAGTCGAGGTTTGAGCTCTTTTTGAGATTGCGATTCATTTTGGTCCGTAGGCGCTGACCTCAACGATGGAGCAGCTAGAGATTGACATGCAAGAGAACGAGCGGCTCACGCAACTGCATGCGTCCTTGGTTGAGCAACAGGAAGAGCTCCAAAAAACCCTCGATGAAATGCTACAGGTTTTTCCTCAACAATACGTGGAGGGACTACACTCTATTGAGCTAGAAACAAAAGACCGATCTGCACCAATTGAAACTCAACGAGTACCAACGGAAGTCGACCATGGAGGAGGTAACTCCCTCCTATTTACTCTCGAAACACACCTCACGGATGGCCCCAGAACTTTCGCAACTTGCTCGCGGCGCTCGAGACGCAAAATCTCAAGACCGGATTCGGTCTGCTCCTGGAGGCGCGCCAGGTAATGCTGTCCATTTCCCTCCTTTTGACATACGTACTGCTCAGACACTATTGACACCGCTCGCCACCGATGTCGCGCCGGCGGCACCGCGCGATGGCCCAGCTTGACCGAGAGTACAATTCATTCGAGTGCAGAAGCACGAAGAATCAGATTTTATCAAGATGTAGTAGACTTCGACAGCTTTCTCCATGGCGAGGAGGTGCTACGAAAGCAGAAGAAGAGCTGCGAGGTGGAGATGCGCCTGCAGAATCGGCGTCCACGACGGCAACGGGTTGCGATATTCGTCCTTCGTCATTGTCGCCCGGCATCATGCGCTTCGCGACGAACTTGGCGCCGCCGTCCACAAATCCTGCGCCTAGAGATCTGCAATTGTCTGCGTTGCCTCTGGGCACGGCGCAGACGCTGGTAACGACACGCTCCATAGCGACGTCTGAAACCACTCGTGCAGTCTCTTGCACGTCTCGCACAGGCACGTCGCGTCGACAAGGCCGTGGATCGGTTCGTCATTCGCTGCCTTGGCTGCGGTGGCTTTCACCTCTGGGCGGACGATGTCGACGAGCTGGTCGCGCACACAGCGAGGCGGGTCGGTGTCTCGTGCGGCCTGGTGCTGTGAAAGGAGTGCGGGAGGAGGAGATCGATGTCGGCGTGCACGTACAGATAGTCAGACGCGTGACGTAGAATGGTCTGAAGACGTTCATCGTGCGCGGTGCCGCGCTGCGGGTTCCGGAAGAGGCGCAGAAGAGCGTGGTTGACGCCTGAGAAGGTCCAATGTACGTGCCCGAGTTCCGTCGTCTCTCAAAACGATCATCGACTGCTTTCGACCAGCTGGGAGCGGGTTGCGCTCGTTGAGAACCTTGTAGATGAACCCTCGAGGATCATCTCTGGGGTCTCGGCGCCGTCCGGAGCAAGCACCGAGACAGCGGATAGGTAGGCAAATCAGCTGGTCTCAGCGAGCACATAGTCGTAGCATCCGGACTCATCGAGAGCGCGGACAAAGTCTTCGTCGGCCTTGGAGAGCGCGCGGAACCCGGCCTGGTCGAGTGTCACGTCGTACTATGTAGAGTACGCAACGCGTCTACGCGCCAAGTGCGGAATCTGCGCAATGCAGATAATAGCTTGCGTATGCGCAGTGGGGTGGTGCCGATGCCAAGCGGTAAAGCGATAGTCCTGACCTTTTCATCTCCGTCGACCAGCAGGTGAAACACAAGCGCGGCGCGCCGTCCGTCCGAAATCAGATTCGACGACACGACCGTCTAGAGGTACGATGCGGCGGCGGCAAAGGACAAGTCGGTTGGCGGGCGCGCCGCGGTGGCCACCGACCACACCTCATCTTCGTCGTGGTACGTGAGCGAGATGATGCCACCGACGCAGTGCGACGGCAGGAGCACCACAAGCCGAGCGAAAGTGCCGTCGTCGACATTGGTTGGTTGCAAAAAGCTCGTGTCGGTGCTGCCGGCGGCTTGGATGACGAGGTGCATCAGCTTCAAGCCGGCCTTTCCCCACGTGGTCGCATGGAGCTGCTCGTATATTTGGACCAGAAAAGACGGCGTCCAGACATGATCTGCGCAGCCCGGTTTGATGCCAAGCGCGTCACCGGGTATGACGGTCGTGGCCACGTGAGGAGCTCGTCGAGGCCGTCGACCGACAGCTCCGGGTCCGCGAAGGTCGCTTCGTGGTGCGTGAAGCCATGTGCGATGGATGCTCGAAGGTCGTAAAGCACCGGGTCGCAGGGCTCCTCCAAGAAGGCTCGGGCTGTGTTGCTGATCATCGCAAAGATCGTGGAATGCATCGTTTCCGTTGTTACATATGGCATATGCCATTTTTAAATCCTTTACGATGCCGCAAAACGTACAATTCGGCATATCTGTGCACTAGAGTTTCTAGTGCTGTAGGCCGCGTACGATGGTGCAACTTGGTGCCCCAAGGTACCCAAAGCATGCTTTACCACTGTACCACGTATGAGCCATTTTGATTTTTCGACCAAGTTTGGCCATCAAACCTCTCGCGATCGGGCAACACCGCGGCAAGTTGCGTGTCCTTAGCTTCAATATCCGGATATCCGGCGTGGGTCACGAAAAGACGATGCTGCGGCCTCCGAGCTAAAGAGTCTGTCCATTGTGGGTGATGCACCTTCTGGACGCATTCAAATCATTGCCAAGGCGCGTGGTCGCTCACATTGCGTTTATAACTGAAACCTCCTAACCTCGCCACATTGGTAGAGGCCGCTGTGGAGAGCACGGAGTGCGAGGTCGCGTTGCCGTCCATGGCGTCCCGCAGTAGCGAGACGCGATCCAAGATGCAACATTCCAAATTAAGAATATAGTGCCATCTTAGAGGCAGCACTCCAGGACGCCGATGCCACTTGGTCGACAACATCATGTTTGAAATGAAATCGCCTATAGTTGGCACTATGATACAAGACACTATGGAGAGCAGAGCACTCCACGCTACGTTGCCGATGCAGTCATACAACGCGCGCAGTGTCTTGATTGAAGAGACAAATCGCTCTTTAAACGTTATAAAGCAAAGAACCACGTTGGCACGTCGTGGTCTTCGGCTTCTACAATTGTTGCCACGCGATCGCTCATTGGAATGGGAATTATATTGATTGCATCATTCATGGAACTCCTGCATCCTGAGCCATCGCATGTCGTAAGCCAATTGGAACGAGAGGCTTGGAGCGCACAATGCTCGGGCATCACTTCTCTTCCGCACTCCCGGTGATTCGATGCCATCCATTAACACATGTGTAAAACATGTGTGATGGTACTTCCCGGTATGCGTCGTTATATGCGCTGTCTCGCAGTATTGAGCCTCACGCTTTCTTCATGCGTTGTCTATAGCCAAGAAGAGCGCCTTGTCAGCAATGACCGCCTCCCATGGCCGATGTGGGACCTCCAAGCACTGCAGCTGCTGAGAACGACACCGCCATTGCCGCTGCCAAGCTTTGTGTCACCAACGTCGCAATCCAATATGTCCTGGACTACCTTCCGTCCCCACATTCGACACGAGTTCGATGGCGGGAGATGGGCACTGTCGACCGGCCTCGTGGTCGACGACGCTGGGTCTGCGACTGCGCATCCTTTCCATGGCTCGCACTAGCTCCATAGCTCGTAGCGCGCTTGGCTCGCTTTCTCGGGAGCTACTCTCGGTGTCCACCGGCGGTGACTCTCGTATCCTGGACGATCGCCATAGTCAAGAAGGGAGCTTCTTGGTAGGTTTCGCCACCTATCATGGCCCCTCACTGCCCCACTCTTTGTCACTCGGCGTGTGGGTTTTGCACGCGTCACCTCAAGGGAGTAGCCCTTGGTGATGACGTTTTCCCCACACACACTAGACCAGCGAGAGCCGACTCGCACACCC